TATGTATGTATGTATGTATGTATGTATGTATGTATGTATGTATGTATGTATGTATGTATGTATGTATGTATGTATGTATGTGTATATTGCCTATGCTGCACTTCTCTGCTAAACATTTAGGCTCTTTGTCCAAAATTTCCCAACCAATCATGCTGATAAATTTCATACACAGAAAAATACTAAACTGGCACTGAATTAAGGGTTGAGTATAAATTTAAGGGATACATCACTCTGCTAATATCAGTATTTGATTACTTGATTTGCAAAGACAGCTTAATACGTATATTCCAAGATCACAAGAYGGAGTGTTAGTTCAAGGTAAAGTATTAACTCTTCTTTAAAGGCCAGATCACATGCTTTAAATAGCAGATACTGCACACAGAAGCAGCTCTGAATGTCATAAAAAGTGATTCATTTGTCAAAGAAACTGTAAAACAAGGTTTTATTTTAATTGATGTGACTTTGACATTAAACATTTCCATAAAATGTCATAAAAAAACACATTTTTTTCTTGTGTTGCACTAAGCTGACATGAATCTTTAAAGATGTTCGCAAAACACTTCTATATTAATTGTTAGGTTAGAATTAATCATTTGTGTGTGGCAAAAAAAAAAAATACAAAACCACTAAGTCCATAGATGTCCATGTAAAAAGTGTCTGCTTTAAATAACTTCAAAAAGAGCAATTTAGAGGAAGAAAGTAAATCTTATTTTTGTGACATAAAAATATATTTCTCTATGTCTCTAAAAACTGCGAGTTCTTTGCCTCTTTCCATCAAAAATAGACTTTTATTCAAGTAAATGTTGTTCAGATAATTAAAGAAATGCACATTAGGCCCACATTACACCAAAGGAAAGACAAGTTTAATCTGAATTTGTGTGTTTCTGTGTGTTTTCTGCAGGAAGCTGTGGCAGTAACGAGTTTCAGTGCACCAATGGACAATGTATTGACAAAGACTGGAGGTGCGATGGAACCAAAGACTGCACAGATGACTCTGATGAGCGTAACTGTCGTAAGTACCATCTCTAACTTTACTTTCCTCTGATAATCTTATTCCTAATTGCATCCCTCCTTGTCCCGCCTGYGGTGATGAGTCTTTCTACACTCACTCTCTTGGTGGCAGTGTATGCACCTTTACCTGCTGTATGAACTGATTAAGAGGAGCACTGAGTGGTTGTGTGTCAGCAGGTGTGGGGCTGAATTAAAGCTGACCGAGTTTGTCAAACGCAAAAGCTCTCTGCAGTGTCATCGAAACATGATGCAAAATAAAGTGAAAGAGTGTAATCCAAAAACTCTTGACCTGCTTTGTTTCTTTGTGACAGCACCTCCAGCCTGCACCTCACAGGAGTTTAAGTGCGTGACAAGTGGTGAATGCATCTCATCAGGATTTGTCTGTGACGGGGAGGAAGACTGCATCGACGGCTCAGATGAGCAAAGAACATGTGGTACAGAAAATAGACTGAGTATTTATGTTGAGGAAAATAGATTTAAGTWACTATTTTCTGAAAGACACATGCTAAAACACAGAGCTTGTGGTATTCTAACACAATAAAGCCACTAGGTGGCTACGTCATCTCTGTGTTTATTTGTCTGGTCATCAAGATAAAAAACCCAGCATACATTCAAAGAAAAACTTCAGTTTCCAAACAACACTGCTAACTCAGGCTCGTTTCAGGTGGTCGCACCTGCAGCCCAGACCAGTTCACCTGCAGAGAGGGTCAGTGTATCCCTAACATATACAGATGTGACCACGTGATGGACTGTGTGGACAACTCTGATGAGAACAACTGCAGTAAGACTTTTATCTCCATAAGCAGGGAAGGAGCCAAGGGGTGACCAGGGGAGGCCAAGGCCACCATAGAAACATCTTTGGTCACCGCAGTGGCCACCCCAATCATCGCTTTGACAGCAACATTTTGGCAACGCTGTTTCTATACAGAGAATGCTCATTTGAACTGCGCTCAAATGAGTAATTCTCGTGGTGTAATTCTAAATGGTGGTCTCTGGCCCTGCAAGTCAATAAAAGAAGAACCAAGAAACACAATTAGATTCTCAGCAAATTGTCAAACATTTCCTGGGCCACCCCTGTGTGACCAGTCCCAGTCTGACCACCCCTGTACAAACCCTCTGGCTCCTCCACTGTCCTCAAGAACTTCTTGCTGCTCGTAAGGCGCACTCCAGTAATTTCTGAAATGAAAGATGTTTTTTTTTAAATAATGGGTATTTTGTTGCCAATAAAGCTCTGTATTTTTACAGATTACCCACACTGCAGTGAGAAGACCTGTGCTAATGGGGCCTGTTACAATAATTCTCAGCGCTGCAATGGGCTGCAGGACTGCAGGGATGGATCTGATGAAGTTAACTGCAGTGCGTATAAATCTCAAATAAACATTTAATTTTCTTTTACTTACCAATAATGTGTTTCAGTAAACAAAAGATTTAATTTAATTAATTTGTGTTTTATTTACAGCATCTCAGCACTGTCCCATCCACCAGTTCGAGTGCACAAACGGCCTCTGTATCTCACACTCGTTTGTGTGCGACCACTGGGACGACTGCGGCGACAACAGTGATGAGCAAGACTGTGGTAAACGAYGAATGACGCACCCATTAAAAAAGAGATCAGGAAGTGCCTAAAATTCTGCGACCAGTGTTTTTTTACTGCTGCTTGTCTTCTTGAAGCGTATCCGAGCTGTAAAGGGAATGAGTTCACATGTTCCAGCGGCCGGTGTATTCCTCAGCGCTGGGTGTGTGACCAGTTCAATGACTGCGGGGACTACAGTGACGAGAAAGGATGTGGTGAGAAAACTTACTGACGTGGCCTTTAACTCAACACAGTTTATTTTACAGTTATTAAGGCACAAAAAAAGTATATACCTCAGCCTTGTTTCTGTGTTAGCAAAATATCATGAACCACGGGACAGATTCTAATGAATCTCTCAGAAAGCAATCATCTTCAACTGTTTTTTTTTTTTTTTTGGGGGGGGGGGGGGTCGACTTCATTAGAGTATCCGCCTCAGCCAGTCAACATTAACCAGCACAAAAAACTTACAGCTTAGTCAGATTTACAAATAAGCTAAAGTTTTATGTAGTCGTAGCTGAGAGTCATCCTCTGAGCACAAATACACAGTAGATTGTGTATGCTGAGAGAAATGAATAAGGGCAAAAGAAGACACTTTAGGCCTAAAAATTTATCTCCAGCAAATGAACAGCTGCTGAAAATCATGTATTTAGGAAATAGGATAAAATCCTTCATCCTCCTTTAGCTTATCCATCCTTTATATACCAAGGTTTTAGCTAATGGCTCTTTATGAATAACTTTATTGGTGCTAAAATACCATTTTACGTCTCAAATTGCTTATTTCAAGTCATTTTAAAAGACTGTTCAAGAGATTGGAACAGATTTCTTTAAATGGATTTAAGTAGCTTTTTAATTTAAAATAAAACATTTCTCTGGAAATGGTCTGAACTAAAAATAAAGGTTAAAGCAGCCAAATTCCAAAACTTTATTATTGCTGTAAATGCATAATTAAACACTGGTTATTTTTTGTACCTAAATATATTGATGCTTTTTTTATTTTCAAATTTTAATTTTTGCCACTATTAGATAGTAACTCACGAGACTGTTACCCTGGTGAGTGGGGCTGTCCTGGCTCATCGCTGTGTATTGCTGTTAGTAAAGTATGCGACGGCAAACCTGACTGTCCTGAAGGTACAGATGAAACCAACTCCACTGCACAGCAAACCTGCGGTAAGTCTGTCTTTCCTGTTCACTTTTTTCATGATTTGACAAACCTTTACATACAAATGGCACAATAGGGAGTGCTGCTGTTTATGAAAATTCAYATGAAAAGGACATGAGTTCTGATGCAGAGTGTTGTACATTTATTTGTACTTTAAGTTGCTTGTAAATCAAAGTACAGGGCTTTAAACCATGATGCATTAAACTCATAAACCAGACTGCAACATTATTATACCCTTTTTTCTTTTTAATTGTTATCTTCACACACACTCCTGGTTAAAAATTAACATTTTATGTGTATCATTTTCAGAAAATTGTAGCAACAATTTTGGTCACGTTAATGTTCTTGAGATGATGAATCCATAAAACAGCCATTAAATGTTTGTGTAAGAGAACATAATGTGACGAATTTCTGTTCTAAGGCCTGGACCGGTGCTCTGCCTTGAGCTGTGAGTACCTCTGCCACCCTTCYCCTCAGGGTGGTGCATGCTATTGCCCCGATGGCTTTATAGTAGCCAATGACAGCCGTTCCTGTGTAGGTGAGTGCTATAATAAATAGATAGTAAAAAGTTGTTAATTTTAACATGATTTAGTATCAAAGAGCTAGAGTATGTGGCCTAATTCCACAGTTATCAGGTTAAAAATTAGGTTATAAATCTTCTTCCCATTACCCAGAACATAACCCTAGCATTTTGGCTCTGTTGCTCAGACTATAATGACTGTGATATCTGGGGGATCTGTGACCAGCTGTGTGAGGATCGTCCGGGGACACACCACTGCAGCTGTGCAGATGGATACTTCCTGGAGCAGGGTCATACCTGCAAAGCCAACGTGTCAGGTACAAGCTGACACATGCTCAAGTCCGTWCGGTGTTTGAAAATTCCAATTTGTACAACCAATGAGACGTTTTTGTTTCTCAGCTGGATTGCCACAGCTTATTTTCACCAATGGAGGCGATGTGATGATGGCTGACATACACGGGCGCTTTGTCAGAACTCTGGTGCCATCCCAGGGCAGAGGTTTCGCAGTCGGGGTGGCCTACAACTTTCACAGTAACATTGTCTTCTGGAGTGATACATACACAAAAAAAGTTAGTCTGAAAAATTGATTTTACTGTCGATATTTATTCTTTACCTCCAACAAGAAGTGAATTCTTCATCAATGCAATTAAAACACTAAAATACATYATAGTGATGGGAAGTTGTGGTTTCAGTATATTTATCTTTTCACCTAAAATCCTTTAATTCCAGGTTTATTCCGCCAACATTAATGGGGGTGACATCAAGGAGGTTTTGAATATATCAGTCAACAATGTGCAGAATCTTGCAGTGGACTGGGTCAACATTAAACTGTACGTCTTAGAAGCTATGTTGGAACGCATAGATATGTGTGACTTTGATGGAAGCAATCGAGTAACATTGGTGGCTGAAAACCTGGAAACTCCTCATGGTCTTGCTCTGGATTCTACAGTGGGGTGAGTTCACATGTCTTCGTTTGCTGAGGAACAAAAATAAAGGCGTGTTGAGGAAGATACAAGATTATATACAGTATATGGAAAACTAGAATGGAGCCCAACAATGGTGAAGGAAGAAGAATCATTTGAAGAAAGCAGGAAATAAAGAGGGGGGGGGTGACTGACAGATGATGTAATGGACAAACTTAAACCAGGTGTGGAAGGAGAGCAGAAAGAAGGACAGACAAACAAGGGAAAAACAGAATACGAAAATTAAACCAACAGGATCTCATTACTAGTGGACAAAGAACCACAAAGGCTAAAATTGTGGAGAGCAGACCATGAACGAGAACGTAATAAAAATCTATGAATCACAGCATAGACTTTAGCAACTGTTTAAGTATAACAAATTAACTTTGATTATAGGAGATGATTGTTATCAAAGACAGTTTATTAGGAGAATGAGTATTATCATTTTTATTGTTGCTCAGCATCTTGTTTCAAGGGTTTCTGTTTTGTTTGCAGCTACATGTTCTTCACAGACATGGGTGTTGGTCAAAAGGACACAAAACTTGAGCGTGCCTTCATGGATGGCAGCAATCGTGTGGAGTTGGTCAAAAGCAGGCTGGGTACACCAACTGGAATCACCCTGGACATTGTCACCCAGAGGGTCTACTGGTCTGACAGCCACTTTGACACAGTGGAGACYGTCACCTACAGTGGTTTAGACAGGTAATGTTTAACAAAGACATAAAACATGAGCTGTGAGTTGTTTTATTGACTGATTGTCTGAAATGTGTTTTTTTTTCTTTCAGGAAAATTGTCCTCAATGGGGGAACACAGTCTCCACATCCTTTTGGGATGGCTGTGTTTGAAAATCACGTTTTTTTTACTGACTGGACCAAGATGGGTGTCATCAGAACCAATCGGTTTAATGGCAGCAACCCAACACTCATTTATCGTACTGTGAAGCGGCCAGGTCACGTTGTAGTCTTGCACTCTGTCCTGCAACCTTTTGGTAAACAAACACTTAATATGTTGTCTKGATTTCGTCATGAAGCCTTAACAAGGCTGACAGCTGTGTTGTCTTGCAGTGATGAACCCTTGTGGGAGAAACAATGGTGGCTGTCAGCACATTTGTGTATTAAGTCACCGCTCTGACAATAATGGTCTGGGCTTTCGTTGTAAATGTCGCTATGGTTATGACCTTCAGGCTGACCGTCAAACCTGTTTCAGTGAGTTTCCCATGTGTTGAAAGTGTTTTATTGATGGTACTGACAAAGCAGTTTGTGAGTCTTGAATATTGTATATCAATAATTGTAATATTAGTTTGACCGTTTTCAGACAAAAAATTCAGGGAAGAAATATTTATTTGTGACCACAGCCTCTCTCTTCATWCAGAGGTAAAGGACTACTTGTTGTTGGCCACCTCTCTGGCAGTGAGGGGRATCCCTCTAAACATATCCTTGCAGGAGGACGTCACACTTCCCCTAACAGGACTTGGAACCTCCTTTTCTGGCTCTGCTGTGGAATTTGATGGAAATGAAGAAGTTGTATTTTACAACGACAGGTCCAGGGGCCTGGTTTACAAGTCAACCCTTAACGGAACCAGTGAGTTTTTGTTACATCTGTATAGRATGGTGATGTTACTGTCCTGTGAATAAATCTGTACATCTACAATAGACTGTAAAACTGAGAAGTTCTTAATTTTGTGTTTCGTTCCTCACTATGTTTTTTTTTTGTTTGCTCCATCAGTTCAGCAGATTTTGACAGGCTACAGAGTGGGAATCATTGATGCTATGGCTTATGACTGGACCTCCAAGGTTTTGTTCTGGACCACAACCTCCTACAGATCAGTGGTGGCCTTCAAAGTCACAGACAAGTCCAGACGAGATATTGTTACTGGACTGAGGAATCCAAAGGGTATTGCAGTGCATCCCAGTGCTGGGTGAGTCCTCAGAAGAAAGTTATTACAACTTAAAATAGTTTATTTGAGTAAATTTACCCATGTAATGTTAATCCACAGCTACCTGTTCTGGTCGGACTGGTACCGTCCAGCTGTGATAATGAAAGCCTTCACTGATGGCAGCAACTCTGTTCCTCTGGTCAACACAACACTGGGATGGCCATATGGACTTGCTCTTGACTACATGTAAGTACACTGCCAACATAAGTTATGTATTTATGCAATTAAAAATCAAAAGACAATGATGCTGTGAGGATGTCAATTAGTTCCCCGGTTGATTATTTGTGTTTTACAGAACGGACAGGCTCTACTGGGTGGATTCTCTCCTTGATCAAATTGGTAACATTGACATAGAAGGAAATGACAGGCAGACATTTACCAACATTGGCCAGATCACTCAACCATACTCTTTAACTGTTTATTCAGGTAATCTCACTGATTGCATGTGTTACACACATTCATAATTGTTCAAGTGACTTTGTTCTTGCTCTCTACAGGCCATAAAATCAAATTCCATGAGTAAATTTGGCTGCTTATATCTAACTTTTATGCTAAGAAGTGAAATGTTGAAATAGCTATTTCTGCTTTGTAGACTACCTGTATGTGTCTGATGTAAGAACCAGAGGAATATTTGAGATGAGAAAGAGGGATGGAGGAGGAAACATTATGATCCGACAAGGAGTCACTGGCATTATGAACATCAAGGCCTACACAGCTGACCTTCACAGCAGTAAGTCAAGCTGAGTTAATGATTAGTGACTCGGTCATTTTTAAAAATCTACTGATTTACTAATTGATCGTTTGGTGTCCTCCCACAGCTTTCAAAAGCCGCTGTAGTTCAGGGCCCAATGGGTTCTGCAGCCACTTCTGTTTCCCAACTCCCTTTTACAACCGGGTGTGTGGTTGTCCGTATGGTATGAAGCTTCAGGACAATCAGAGGGACTGCATCAAGGATGATTCTGTTCCCCCACCTGATACTAACTGTGGTGACTATTCCTTTGAGTGTGATGAAGGGCGCTGCAGGCCCAACTCTTACCGCTGTGATGGAATCATTGATTGTGTAGATCAGACGGATGAGGCCAACTGCACTCATACAGGTACATGTGTATGACTATCTATTTTTTGCAAATTAGCAAAAGATAATAACTGAGCAAACAGTTGCAAACCTAACATGCCTTCTCCAGGGGCTACATGCTCTCCATCAGCTTTTACCTGCAACAACAAGCACTGCATTTACTCCAGCTGGCGCTGTGACGGTATAGACGACTGTGGAGATGGTTYTGATGAAATGAACTGTCCAACACGGCTCCCCACCACATGCGCAGCAGACTACTTTACCTGTGATAACAACAGGTGCATCTCTAAAACCTGGTTGTGCGATGGTGACAATGACTGTGGTGATGGCTCAGATGAACACAACTGCAGTATGTTCATAATTTCTTCTGTTTTAACCACTTTTTTTTTAAAAATGCACCCTGTAAATGAAGTTTAAATCTATTGATAATAATTAAAACGGTGTGTTTTCCAGATTCAACTATCACTACATGCCCTCCTAACTACTTCCTGTGTCCTGACCACCGCTGTATCAATAGCTTCTACGTGTGCGACGGAGACCAGGACTGCTTGGATGGATCGGATGAGAAAAATTGTGGTAGGATGGTTTTCTCTTGCGTGTTTGCTGTAGTACAGAAATCCTCTTTTCATGCTTTAKCTCATTCTTTTCAACTCCTTTAAGAGTTTTCCTGTGAATCCTATGAGTTCGCTTGTACCAGTGGAGACCAGTGTGTCAGTTCCAGTTATCGCTGCGATGGTGTGTTTGACTGCCGGGATCATTCAGACGAACAAAACTGCCGTAAGTTAACCAGATTAAMTGAGACAAATAACAAACCTGATCATATCACTTATGTTTTGCATGTTTAGMTTTACTGGTTTCATCCGGTACCCACAGCCACTCGAGGTCCAGGCCTTTGCCATGACCACGAGTTCCAGTGCCAGACAGATGGTTTGTGCATACCAGACGAATGGGAGTGTGACGGCCATCCAGACTGTGAGGATGGATCTGATGAGCACCACCAGTGTCCAGCTGTCACCTGCAGGTCTAACGATTTCCAGTGTGCCAACAAGATGTGYATTCCAACAAGCTGGCTGTGTGATGGTGAGAACGACTGTCGAGATATGAGTGACGARCAGAACTGCCCCACACCTCCCTTCAGCTGTCCCTCTGGACAGTGGTTGTGCCCCACCGACCAGATGTGCATTGATTTGGACAAGGTTTGCAATGGTCAGAAAGACTGCCCCAATGGAGCTGACGAGTCCCCTATCTGCAGTGAGTATCCAATCATTTATTTCCTTGACACTCAGTGAACACAGTTCCATTTCTCTACAAAAAAAGCCCAATTCCCATCTTCTTTCAAAAAGATGAAGATGACTGTGTGCTGAACAACGGGGGCTGCAGTGACGGTTGTGTCCAAGGACCGTTTGGAGCTCAGTGCACCTGCCCACCAGGATATCAGCTCCTCAATGACTCCAAGACCTGTGAGGATATTGATGAGTGTCAGATACCTGGTTTCTGCAGCCAGCAGTGCTACAATGAGAGAGGAAGCTTCAGGTGCCACTGTTCAGACGGCTACATCCTGGAGCCTGATGGACGCACGTGTAAAGCTACAGGTAAATTACCAAAGTAAATAATAATAATGATAAAGYTAAACTGAACAAAAATAGCTATTGATCTTTATATACAAGGATTCCTGAAACAATACATTTCTCTTCCCTTAGACCAAGAGGCAGCTGTACTTTTAGTAGCCAGGCGTAGTCAAATTGTTGCAAATAAGATCAATCTCAAACCACCCCAGATGAGCCCGGTGGTCAGCGGCTCAAGCATTGTGACTGTGGACTTTGACCGTGTGACTTCCAAAATCTACTGGGCTGATGCCACAGTGAAGAAGATATGGAGTGCCTATCAAAACGGCACAGAAAGACAGGAAGTAAGTGAAATGATACACATTATGCTGAACAATAAATCAAGACRTGTTAACCACAGATGGTCAGTATATCTTAATAGAGTTTGGCTCTTTTGCTCAATGTATTGCCTGATTAGGTGTTCTCCAGTGGTTTGATGGAACCAGAGACTATTGCTGTGGACTGGGTGGCTCGGAATCTGTACTGGACTGACTCTGTCATGGAAAATATTGAAGTCTCCACCCTGGATGGTCGCTATCGAAAAGTCCTCTTAAGCAAAAATGTCACTAGCCCTCGTGGACTTGTTTTAGATCCCCGTAACTAGTGCGTAATTTCTATATTTTGTTACATTATTATGTTTTTAACTTTATAGTTGGATCTTGAATTGTTTAACTCAACATCAGACCTGTGAGCGTTAGTACTGCTTAGTAACCTTTTGTGGCAGATATTTTTTATGACACTGTCACTCTTTTCCAGTACTTATCTGATGTTTTGGTCMGACTGGGGTCAGAACCCTAGGATTGAGCGAGCCTGTATGGATGGATCCATGAGACAAGTCATTGTCAGCACTAAAGTCTACTGGCCCAATGGCCTGGCTCTGGACYACACTACACGCAGGGTTTACTTTGCTGATGCTTACCTGAAATATATTGACTACTGTGATTATGATGGCAAAAACCGCTACCAGGTCATRGCAAGTGACATGGTAGGATACACACACTGACATACTGGTAGTTAAGAATAAGGTACCAGAAAATGTTTTACAAAAACATTGTTTTCTTACACAGGTTCTCCAGCACCCACATGGTATGACTGTATTTGAGGACAGTATTTATTGGTCGGAGCGCTACACCAGCAARGTGATGAGGACAAACAAGTTCCATGGAGGAAACATCACTATTTTAATGAACAATATCTATCAGCCTATGGGGATTGTTATGGACCATCCCATCAAACAACCAGCAGGTAGCCCACATTTAGATTCCTAAAGTTATTGAGGTTTGTAAAGTGTTGAGTGTTGATGCAGACTAGATATCAGTAATAAATAACAAAAAATCCAGAAAAAAACATTAGACTATTTAATTCTCAAAATTATAGTCTATTTAAAACCACCAAACTCTGGTATTGGTGTGACAAATAGTGGTTGAAATTGATAAATGTTCTTCTTAGTCTGAAGGTGTTTCTGTGCTTCCCTGTATAGCCATCAACCCTTGCAGAGAGCACTTTTGCACACAGCTGTGTCTGCTGTCCAACTTGAGACCCAGGTATTACACTTGCCATTGTCAGTCTGGGTGGAAGCTGGACAATGATCAGCGCACCTGTGTCAAAGGTARATGTTTTTCCACCATTGTACACAATCTTTGACTCAACTGAAATGTTTGATACATAAATTCATACATTTTATTTCAGATGAGACTCCCTTCCTGATGGTGGTCAGAGATTCTGTTATCTTTGGCATTCCCTTGGACCCAAAAGACCCATCCAACAATGCTATGGCCCCAGTGTCTGGCATCAGCCAGGGGCGAGACATCGACTTTGATGATCAGGAGCAGTTTATCTATTGGATCCAGAGCACAGTCAGTTACATTGACAAACTGCAGAAATATTTTGTCAATCTTTCAATCTTTGTAAAGTTTTTGATAAAATGAGCTAATAAAATAAGGGATCAATCGTTGTTGTCAGTTATGGCATTTGCAAGTTTTATTGTTTAAAATGTGTTATTTTTTATTTTATTTCATTAGGGTTCAATTTGGCAAGTGAAAACTGATGGCWCCAACAGATCAGAGTTTGCTCCAGCTGCTTTAATGGGCTCGCCATCTGGTCTGGCTTTTGATTGGATAAGCCGAATAATGTATTACACCAACCCCACTAGCAAAACCATTGAAGTAAGCACTTTCTGAACAAAACAAACAAAAAAAAACATTGTCAACTCCTGCCAACACTTTAACAAAAATAGCATTTCTTTGTGCTTTCTCAGTTAAAAAGTAAATAAATAAAATGGTGCCCTTTTTATAGGTTATCCGTGTAGATGGAAATGAGAAATACAGGAAAACTCTCATSGCCTCAAATGGCAAACCAGAAGGAACAGGAGAACCTGTTGGGATAGCTCTGGATCCTGCCCGAGGGTAATGCATTGATGAAGAGTAGGGGATGGGTGGGGGGATTTTAAAGATTTATTCAGTGGTCCAATGTAAAACTCTTGATGCTAAATAAAAGCCCATTGACCATTCATATTGCTTATTTCACTTTTCTGCTCTCCACAACTGACAGGAAACTGTTTTGGACAGACAAAGGATCTGACAATGGAGTGCCTCCGAAGGTTAGCAGTGCTGATATGGATGGAGGCAACCTCAAGAATCTTTACACAGACAACCTGGCAAACATAGGGTTTATTGCTGCCGATATCTCAGCCAGAAAAATTTATTGGGGTCTGGCAGGCACAGGGGTGGTATGTACCAAATCCCACTCAYTTATTTGTCTTGGTTTGACTATTCTTGATTAACTCTTACAACTGTTTTGCCCAGATTGAGTGCGGGACAATGGATGGGGTAACCCGTACTACCGTGGTCAATGGTCTCTCCCACCCATGGGGTCTGACAATCTACCAGAACCACTTGTACTACACAGATCTGGACTATGAGGTAATTGAGAGGGTGGACAAAGAAAATGGTGCCAACATGGTGGTGATGAGGAGCAGCATGTCAGGCCTGCGTGCTCTCAAAGTGCATGCCMGAGAAGGTATGTAAATTTAAATCAAGCTTGCAATTTACATTCTTTACGTTTCTCTGATCAGCAACACACTTTTATCACTGTTTCTTCCATCTCAGACTCAGCAGGGATCACCAATGCCTGCAGCTCTAACAATGGAGGCTGTCCACATCTCTGCCTCCCTAAACCGGACAACAAAAAGACTTGTGCCTGTACCACAGGATTTTACCCTTCTCCTGATGGCACCCGTTGTGAACAATATGMCTCATTCGCCATTGTCTCCACCCTCCGGCATATCCGTGGCTTTCACATAAACAGCTCTGACCACTCTGAAGCAATGGTGCCTGTCGGTGGAAGTATGTCTGTTTCAAATATTTTGCACTAAATAGCTGACGACTGATTTTTGTATTATAGGGTTTGATTTTCCAATATTATTTCCAGCCTCCTGCTAACCTGCTAATTTTGCTTTAGCAACCTATTCAGTAATGGACAGATTGGACCTGCATATTCAATCTGGCTTTGTGTACTGGAGTGACAACAGCACTTACACCTCATACAGAGGAATCTACAGGGCGAAAACAGATGGAGGAAGCTACAGTCATATCATCAGTTCAGGTGTTGGGAAAAGAGGCATCCAGGGTCTGGCTGTAGACTGGATTGCAGGTATTAAGATTCAAAAAAGTTACAAAAAATTTAGTTGGATTTGTTAAAAATATGCATAAAAATTATTTTGTTGTATTTCCCAAATTTTTCTTAGGTAACTTGTACTTCACCAATGCCTTTGAGAGTGAGACCCTCCTTGAAGTATTGGCAATCAACACCACCTACCGAATGATTCTCCTTAAGAGCTCCCAGGACCAGCCCAGAGACCTGGCAGTCAGTCCCAAACTTCGCTACCTGTTTTGGACTGATGGCGGCCAAACACCCAAGATTGAACGGGCCCTGCTGGATGGCACAAACCGCACCATTTTGGCATCAGAGAGCCTGGCGTCACCTCGTGGCCTAACAGTAGATTACAGTAATGACTTCCTCTACTGGACCGATGATGTTCTTGACATGATCTCCCGAATGGCCGTGGATGGAACACAGAGGCAGATTATCCGCTACGGGAGTCGCTATCCTTCTCCAGTAGGAATGGCTATTTTTGGAAACTACATGCTTTGGGTAGATAAAAAGCTTGAAAAGCTTTTCCAAGCCAGTAAAGACCCAGCCAATACTGACCAAGCAGAGGTGAATAAATTAGTTTCATTGTTGATTCAACTTTGTGAATTCCTCTAGAAATGACCAAATCATATATTTCTCATAAAACACAACATATGGACACAGAAAAAATAATATATAGTAGTTATCCAGAGTACTTAATCACATAAATATTGGCTGTTCACATATTACAGCTGTGTGCACCTATTTCTAATTGTTATTAAATATAAATTGGTTTCCTAAGTTTAAATGTAATTGTTTTCTCTACAAAATGTTATAAATTTGTGAAAAAGTTTTTTTAAATAGTTTGCAATAATCATACAAGTCAACCCTTTCGAATGTTTACCTGTACACTGATCTTCAAAAATGTAATTTTCACAAAAAATCCATAACACTCTCACATGGTTATCGAAGTGGCACAACACTGCCCACCCTTTCCTCCACTCATTGAAAGGAACAGTCTGGGAATACAAATTGACAGAAAAGCATTGATTTTGAGGCACAACACAGTTGCCACGGTGCTGCAGAGTGTTTAATTTCATTTAGTGGTTATTTTACATCTTACAGGCTCCGAGATGTTAAATAAATATGAAGCTGAGCTTTTGAAAACAAATTTGGGATTTAAAAAATCTTTTAGATATCTCTACATGTCCGTATACCTGTAAAATGGGGGGAAATATGTGTAATTTACAGACAATTCAAGATGACATGTATGAATAAAAAAAAGAAAACTATTACCACTCACCAACCATACTGTTTTATATGTTACACCCAGGTAATCCGAGACAATCTTGATGGCCTGATGGATGTCACCATTTTTGACTCTCACGTTCAGCCCACATCGGCCCACCAAGTAGGCTTTAACCCCTGCCTGGAAAACAACGGACGCTGCCAGCAGCTCTGCTTTGCCATTCCAGACCAGGAGCAACCCAAGTGTGGCTGTGCACATGGGTCCTTGCTCAGTAATGGAGTATCGTGTGGTTATGGACTAGATGAGTTTCTAGTTTTCACCACAGACTACACCCTGAACAGCATGAGATTAGACCCGACCGACCACAGCACCCCCTATCCAACAGTGAACTTGGGGTACAACTTAATGGCTTTGGATTATGATTTTAAGGAAAAGCGTGTTTTCTTCACCCAGTATATAGGTTTAGGTCGGAGCAAGATTGGTTATGTCACCACAACATCGATCACCAGCCCTCCTGTTATCGTTGCCTCCAGTGAGTTTAAAATCATCATTGCTATGTTTGTCTTGTTTCATTTCCTTCAAGTTATTGTTGTCACTCCAAATAAAATCCCCTTTCTGTATAATTTGCTCAGACCTTGATGACCCTGAAGGATTGGCTTATGACTGGATCAATAAGCGTCTCTACTTCACTGACTACTACAGACGTAATGTCCAGGCGATCGGGTTGGATGGGTTAAACCGCTCCATAATCGTCCATGCAAATCTCCCCAGAGGCATCATAGTTGACCCGTGCTATGGGTAAATAATTGGGACATGGTTCTCAGTTTTATTTATGAAAATATAAAATACACTCGTGAGCTTATTATGGTTCTCACTTCACAGTTACTTGTACTGGACAGATTGGGGTTATCCAGCTAAGATTGAGAGATCCACGTTGGGTGGAAACTTCCGAACTGCTATAATCAACAGCAGCCTAACAACACCGAATGGCCTGTCTTTGGACTATGAAGAAAGAATGCTTTACTGGGCTGATTCCTCACTGTATGCCCATATGTTTCTAATGTCATGTAGAGTGGAAATAAGACACTTTTTTAAATTCTTTATTTTACATTCCCTTTTTTAGTGACAAGATTGAGCGGGCTACTTTGACCGGTGAGAATCGGCAAGTGATAGTGCATGGAGTCCAGTACCCATTTGCCATGACTGTCTTCCAGCAGGACATCTTCTGGACCGACTGGACTGAGAGAGCTGTGTTTAGGGCTGGGAAGGAAGACGGCTCTGGCTTTGCTGTGCTAGCTCAGGGCTTACAATACCGGCCAAATGACATCCACGTCTATGCTGCGTCTAAGCAGGAGAGTTGCTCCAGCTTCTGTCAACAGTTCAACGGAGGCTGTAGTCACATCTGTGTTTCTGGTAGGAGTTAAAAGGAACTAGATTTTCTTAATGCAGTCATTAAATTTTAGCCACAATAGTTTCAATATGTCAAGTGTAGAATTTAAAAAAATGCTGTTAGAAACGTCCTCATGTGGTTTGGAGTCCTGGGAAATTTCAACACCACATGAAGAAACACACTGTTAATTAAAAAGACAAATTATCTGTCTGGTCCCTCTGGTTTCTCTCAATTATTTAACTTGCTTATCTCCACATAACCTCTCCTGCAGGTCCAGTGGGCCCAGAATGCCAGTGCCCTCATGATGGGAATTGGTATCTGGCAAACAATGGTAAAGACTGCATTACAGACACAGGCAAACGTTGTAAGCCAGACCAGTTTACCTGTCTGAATGGAAACTGTATCTCAGCACGATGGAAGTGTGATGGCTACAATGACTGTCAGGACCAATCAGATGAACTGGAGAGAGTGTGTGGTGAGAAAATAGGACTTTTAAGGGCTCGACACAYKGGCAGYGACAAACTACAGCAATTAAAGGGCTCGACACAYGGGGAGCGACAAACTACAGCKATTAACRGCTGTCATCGCAGCCAGGGTGAAACCCGACACACGGGACGCGATAGCGATTGCAGCGTTGCAAATCACGCTCTCAGGTCGCTTGTCTTCACAAAATTTGATTGGTTCTTGACTCTGAAGGCGGGTGTGCATTACGGACATGTAAACTAAACAAATCTTGCAATGCTAATGATATTGAAAAACAAACACACATCAATCAAGATACAGTTTTATGAGGAAAAACTTACCATAAACTTCACCCTGGTGCCAATAAATTCCCACAAAGCTGCCTTTTTTAGTAATCACTTGGTGAAAGTGTTAGCTAATTGCAATGTGTAGCATACTCTCTGCTCATTGGTCAGTCAATGAAACCCTCGCTGATTTGTTGTACGCTAAGCGACAGCGACAAAAGTTGAACATTTTTCAACTTTCATATGTCGCCTCGCAAGCTCGCGTGTGCACGTGTATGAGCGCGAAATTTCACATGCACTATTTTCGCCGTTCGCTTAGCTGGAGGAGGRCAAGCGGTTGTCGCCTCACCRCACAGGCTCCATAGGAAATGAATGGAGAGYGAGCGACGTCGCCTYCCGTGTGTYGAGCCCTTTAGACAGCTTCATTTTAATTCACTCCTGTTTATATATGTAAAATCAGGATGTTAAGAATTCTACTCTTTTGCCACCCAGCCTTCCACACCTGCTCAGCCATGGACTTCACCTGTGACAACGGGCGTTGTGTCCCACTAAATTATGCCTGTGACTACACAGACGACTGTGGTGACAACAGTGACGAGCGAGGCTGTCCCTACCCCACATGTAATCCTTCCACTGAGTTTACCTGTGCCAACGGGCGCTGCATCAACATAGGCTTTGTTTGTGATGGCCACAACGACTGTAGAGACAATRCTACGTCTGATGAGATCAATTGTCGTAAGTGGCAATAAGGCTGAGTGGAAGCTTGATTCATTAAGTAATGTACTGATCAGAATGGATACAATGCACATGTATTTGTCACCTACTGTATAAGAGACAGTTTTATGGTGTCAAAGAATTGATCTTATCTTATAATTTATTGTTTCCAGCTGACCGCAACTGTCCTTCTGGTCAAATCAAGTGTGAAGGGACCAATATCTGTATCTACCCTGAAAGCTTGTGTGATGGCTTTAACAACTGTGGGGACAATAGTGATGAGAATCCTCTTTTCTGTGGTAAATTGTTGTGAAGATTCAATCACTTCTTAGGTTTGAAATTCATCAGCCACCTGTTGACTTATTTTGTGTATTACTGGGGAACAGAWGGTCGCACGTGTGCTCCCAATCAGTTTCGTTGCGATGGAGGAAAGTGCATTCCGCAGACTTGGGTTTGTGACTCATTCAAAGACTGCAGTGATGGGACAGATGAGCCACCCTCTTGTGGTAAGTTGGCTGGATTTATTTATCATACATTAATAATCTGTTAATTTTTTGTGACCAAAGCTGTAAGAACACATTTAGATATATTAGCTCTAATAATGGTTTGCTATTTAAAGCTTATGTCGCATGGATGTGTCGGTAATCCAGAYCAATTTTTCTTGTTACACAGAGGATCTGATCAGAACATGCAGTCCAGACCAGTTCACATGCACTAATGGGAATTGCATCCCTCAGTCACTGGTTTGCGATGGAAACAATGACTGTTGGGACAATAGTGATGAGGTTCCAGAGCTGCAGTGTGGTGAGACACCAGTTAGACATTASTTACACATCACGTCACAGTTTTACGTTTTAGTTATTCAATTGTAATATGTTCATTAGATTTGTTATGCTTACATTTTTACCAAATGCTTTCTGATCTTCTACTGCAATCACTCCTTTCCATGTCTATCAGGCCAGCGCACTTGCAGTCCCAACCAGTTCACCTGTCCCACCTGGTACCCAGGCTACCCCCGCTGTGTGCCTATGACTGCTGTATGTGATGGAGACAAAGACTGTGCCAATGCAGCTGATGAGCTCCATAACTGTCCCAACCGAACCTGCCATATGAATGAGTTYGCCTGTGCCAATGGGCTCTGCATCCTCATCCCATACCAGTGAGTRTAAAACATGCAGGAGTTTATGAAAAGCAAAGGTTTGTTAAGCAATCTGGACACTACTTATCCTGTCCCGATCTTCCACAGCTGTGACCGAGTGAATGACTGTGGAGATGGCAGTGACGAGTTAGACTGTCAGTACAACACATGCCAAAGCAACCAGTTCACCTGCAGTAACGGGGCCTGCATCTCCACCTACTACATTTGCGATGGGGAGAATGACTGCATGGATGGATCAGATGAGGCAGAGAGCTTGTGCAGCACACCACAACCTACCTGCTCACCCCAGGAGTACTTGTGCAAGTCCGGAGAGTGCATTGACCTCCATAAGGTGTGCAATGGGCAGAAGGACTGCGAGGACAACAGTGATGAAAAAGGCTGTGGTGAGAGAAAAGCGATMATGTTCAGATTAGTATTTTCATGGTTTTAGTTTAATCATATTTGTAGTATGTTTATCTTTGTTCTAATATACGGCATTTTCTCGACTMCTTTCTTCATTTAGGGATAAATGAGTGTCTTAACCCGGCTGTCCATAAGTGCGCTCAGCTTTGCACCGACACTCTCACTGGTTATTACTGCTCCTGCAACCCAGGCTACTCTCTCATGCCGGACGGCAAAGCCTGCGAGGACTTAAACGAGTGTGTCAGCACCCCTGCTGTTTGCAGCCAGATCTGCGAGAACACAGTTGGCTCGTACCACTGCAAATGCGCCCCAGGGTACATTCGCGAAGCGGATGGACGTACCTGTCGTCAGAACAGCGGCATTGCCCCATTCCTGCTGTACAGTAATCGCTACTACATCCGGAATTTAACCACAGATGGGTCACAATTGAGTATAGTTCTGCAGGGGCTGTCAAATGTGGTGGCGTTAGATTTCGATCACAATGAGAAGAGACTCTATTGGCTGGACACGGGGGCAAGAAGAATTGAGAGAATGCATTTTGATGGCACCAACAGGGAAACGCTTGCGACTGAAAATTTAGGAGGAGCTGAAGGCCTGGCAGTGGACTGGGTGGGCAGGTGAGGGGCGAACTTTACAATTCAAGCTCGAAGAGAAGTTTTTTGTTATTATTAGTCAGTAATAATATTTTGTATACTACAGGAAAGTGTACTGGGCGGATAGTTATTATGGATCGATTCATGTGATGGAGTTGGAYGGACGCTATCAGAAGAAGCTGCTGACAGGGCACTTTAAAAATGGAAATGACACTTTTATTATCAGCCGACCACGTGCTGTGGTTGTCAACCCTAAATATGGGTATTCACACACAAATATTTATCTGTCTGCATGCAATTCAATGAATAAATAAGACACTAATAAATAATGATGTTTTTATTAAAGCTGTTTGCTCTTTGCTGAATAAATGTCAATTTTATTTTTACTTCTGTGTTTGACTCTTCTTGTCCCTACCTTTGCCTGTTTCTCAGATGGCTGTACTGGACTGACTGGGCTGACAAGGCTTATATTGGCAGAGTTGGCATGGATGGAACAAACATCAGTGCCATCATCACAACCAAGCTGGCGTGGCCCAGTGCTCTGACCGTTGACTACACCACCAACAAGATCTTCTTTGCTGATTCGCATCTTAACTTTTTGGAGTGAGTTGTTCAAAGAAAATTATTTTTAAAAAGGTGGAGAATATTTAAATTAAAAGACAGTTTTTGAAGGAGTTGAAGAGAGACATAAGTATTTCTTTGGGGAAATAATTTAAATAAAATTTAATATTTCGAAAAGTAATCAAGCTGAACACTTTGATGAATAGCTAAAATAGAGCAAACCTGCTGAACCAATTCAAGTTAGATCCAAAAACTTGTTTAGATGAAATTAGAATCAGGAAAACAATGCTGACTCAGCATTTAGTGTTGTAATTTGTTTTATCATTTTGCCTGTAAAATATCTTCACGTATAAACATCTCCCGTATACATATCTTAGCTTTGCAGACATGGATGGTCAGAACCGGCACCGGGCCATTGCTGGCACGCTTCCTCATGTGTTTGCTGTTTCCCTGTTTGAAGACTGGGTCTACTGGACAGACTGGAACACTCACAATGTGGAGAAAGCCCATAAATACACAGGAGAGGGGCGCACAGTCATGGGCAACAACACACACCGGCCAAATGACATTCATGTCTGCCACCCTTACAGGCAGCCGAAAAGTATGTAAATGATGATCACAAACTTTTATATTCCTTGGATCTTCTTCTTTTTTACATTCCCATTGTTTTCCAGGTGAAAATCCTTGCTCATCACACTACCTCACCTGCAGTCATTTGTGTCTGATCGCTCCTGGAGGGCAGCGAGCAACCTGCGCGTGTCCAGATCATTTTATCGGTTTAGCTGTGGGATTCAAAATCCAGTGTGTGGCTGACTGCTCCAGTACCCAGTTCCGCTGTGGGGACAACGAGAAGTTAGTGTTATAAAATACAAATTTTCATTWATAGGTCAGCGCCTTTCTACGATGTATTACTGAAAAAAAAAAGTTGACATTGGCACATCATACAATGAGAAATAAAACCAAATGCAATTTTTTTCTTGTGGGTTAATTTTCCTTCTTGTTTTTGTGTTTCCTCCTTTTATAAGATGCGTGCCCATATGGTGGAAGTGTGACGGCCAATCCGACTGTGGCGAYGGCTCTGATGAACCTCAAACCTGCCCACCTCGTTACTGCCCCATCGGCCAATTCCAGTGTCAGGATGGCAACTGTACCTACCCTGGTTTCATCTGCGATAGTCGCCCTGATTGTCCCGACGGCTCGGACGAAGACGCTGCTCTCTGCAGTATGAAACCAAGAAAACATCACTCATATTTAAACCATTTAGTGTAGAGACTTTAATAGAAAGCTTAAACAGAAGTGACTCACCTCTTCTTTGAAATAAGCTAGATACCGCTTAGCAGTAGTAWATATGACCCCCACACATACACAAAGCATCAATGCACCAGAACTCACCAGAACAGATTTATTGTTTTGGGTGGGGSTCCGGAGAGGGTGGGGAGGTGTTCTTTGATGAGCCCAATAGATAGCCGTTAGATGTAAACAACAACAACAAAAAAAATCTAAAGCTTCTATGTTGGATAGTTTTGCGATATAAAAACTTCTGTATGTCCAGACTTTGCCTTTTCAGAGGGAGCCCCCTCCACAAATATGGGGTCTATGGTAAAACCGTTGGTGGTCGTAGTGTAGGTCAGTCACTTCACTATTCCTACCAAATTTCATGTTGATCGGTGCAGCCGTTTCCATGCTACAATTGGCCAAAAATCTCAGAAAAAATAAACAAATAAAATAAATTTGTCAAAATGTTAGGAAGCTTTAAACCCCAGGTGCAGAATTGAATGACTGACAATACTTACAAAAGGAAAACAGAAACAGATTTGGGTACAAGAAGACAGAACTCACTGACTGTAGAGAACATGAAACAACAAAGCACTGACAGTAGACTGAAGACAGAGAACAGAATATAAAGGAGAACTAATGAGCTACAATGAGAGACACCTGGAAAAGAAACAYGGGGAGCAGGTGAAAGTGGGCAGGGTTGGWGCAGAGACAGGCAGGAGKAGGTAAACTGATAAAACAGAGTACAGAAACAGGAAGAGTAACCAAAAAACACACAACTGTACACAGACCATGACAAAAATAGACTATACCACATAGCGGTAACATAATGACCCCTGCACGTACCAATATACCAGAACTCAGAGGTCTCTATTCCTATTATGCTCTATTCTACCAAATTTCATGATGCTAGGTGCATCCCAAAATTTTATTGCTTCAGGTG